AATTAGAATGATCAAGTCAAGGAGGATGAGGTGGGCAGGGCATGTAGTACGAATTGGGGAGACAAGGAATGCATATAGGATATTGGTGGGAAAGCCAGAAGGAAACAGACCACTGGGAAGACCAAGGCATAGTTGGGTGGATGATATTAAAATTGATCTTAGAGAGAGAGGATGAGATGGCATGGATTGGATTGATCTGGCTCATGATAGGGACCAGTGGNATACGGTAATAGACCTTCGGGTTCCACACAATGCAAGGAAATTCTTGAGTAGCTGCAGAATTGGTGGCTCCTCCAGAAGGGCTCAGCTCCATGAGTAAGTAAGTACCCAGTGGGTGTGTATTAATAGAGATAAACAAAATGCAATAATGAGCCAGGCCCATAACATACACATTAAGTGTCTATGGTTACCATTGTAAATACCAATCTTGGTGTATCTTTTCCATGCTTACACAGCCAACAGATAATATGGGCTAGGGCTAATAAACGATACATGTAAAACAATAACATTTAAACAGAATCCAATAATTGGAAAAAGCAAGGAGTGGTAGCACTGTTAAACCAGCAGAAAAAAGTAACAAATTCCCTGTGGGGCCAAAAATGGGTATGTCAACCAACTTCCCCATCTGACTATCAGCAAATGCTGCCATCTGAAAATGCAAGACACACGTGAGCTGGAGTTCTTGATGCAGCCATACAGGTAAGTTGGATGGGCAAAGGGAGGGAGTAAGAAAGGGAAACTCCTGAGAATGGGAGAAGGTGAGCACAAGAGAGTGATTAGCAAGTGAGGCACCAGGTGGTGTGGATAAATATAGCTGTGGAGCCATCACACATGACTCACTTATCAGCAGAAGAGAGGGAGAAGAGACTCAGTTATAAAGGCAGGAGAACAGGAGAGGTAAAGGCTGTTTGTCTGTCCTGCTGATAAACTGCAAGATGAGCTTTGTGTGAAACTGAAATTTTCATTTTTTCAATCTCATTTCACTGTCTAGCATATGGAATCATCATACAATTCTGCTTTTTTCCTTGAAGATAGCAGGCTTATGAAATCACTGTGCTATCTGCATATGTGTGTGGTCCTTTTAAAGTTTTCAATCAGTTATCCACGTTTTATTGTATTTGGTATGACAATGCAAAACTTTGAGGTTACATCCAGCACACTTAATGTAGATATAATTTTTGCATAAATAGTAAATTCTTCCCAAAAAGAAAACAGCAGCATCAGTAATTTGTTATATATATGTATGTGTGTGTGTAGTATTTCATTCCTTAAATGTCTGAGTACAAGACCAGCATGGTAACCCATGATATATTGTAGTTGTTCTATCAGTAAATTCATTTTATCACCATAAGTAATCTAGTCATATTATATATATATATATCCTACGAATAACCTTACCAGATTAATTCCCTTTACCAGTTACTCTCTGACCTACAGGGAGGCGATGGTGTGCAAGGAAACCCTGATAGGCTGCTGAGTGCAGTGTTGGCAGCTCTGTGCAGTCCAACTGTACGTCTCCGTTCTACATTCCCCATTCTTAACAGTGTCTTAGATGCTTCAGATTCCTCTCTTAAGAGACAGCTGAGCCCTTCAGACAATACAGGGTTACCCATGATGCCATGTGTGGATGGACATCACTATCCAATTCTTGTAGAGCAGATGAGCTACAGAAGTCAGGTTAGTGATTAAGCACTGAGGCATTGAATCCACACTTAACAATTTTTATGTGTTCATAACCCTGCAGAGCACCTGTTAAATTCATTCCATTCGTCCATCCATGTATATGCATGAAACAACTTACCAACTGCTAAACCAATTTTAATATTTGATATTGGGGAGTTTTATTAAAATTGATCAACACAGTCAAGTTGTAGTTAACACATTCCAATTTAGTTAAAACTGGACAGACATATGGAATAGTTTACATGAAGAACTGCATGTTTATTTGCCTGTGTCTTCAGCATAACTTCATAAATATTTATTGGGATGAAGAGTTTTTCAAACAGACCTTTAGAGAAAAATAAGAGACATTTTATGTCCAGAATACTTTCCGTAAGTCATATGGTCTTGTAAGCCTGTAATTTCAATAATTATGCTGTAGTACTCGCAGTATTTTTATATTCCAATTTCTTGTTCAAGGCACTTAAGAGGCTTACAAGGTGACTGTTCAAGGCAAGTGTTCCTTGTGTTAAATCTCATTTACATTATGGGTTCCTGCCTGTCAACACACCTGTTATTCTTACTGACAGGATTCTAAATTGTGTTTCTGTGAACCTTGGGAGAGTTCGTTCTTGATTTTCTATAACATTTTGTACCTAGTGGATTTAGATTTCACATAACAATGAAAAGAACACTCAGTGCTCTCACATAAACTCGTTTGTGCCCAGCACAAAGGGAACCTTGTGAGATCTGCAACAGAAGAGTAGTTGTGCGCACATAACAGCCACATGATCCATTGATTTCTGTAACTGGTTTCTTTAGTCTGTTTGCAGTGGCAAGCTTGATCCTGGCATATTTAGGTTTTATTTGAATAGATACTGAACATGCTGGAGTATAGAAAATTCATATCTTATACACGAAGTTCCATTTCATTGTGTAAAAGTTATATTCTAAATGCAAGGAGGATTATAGGCCTTGTGTTTTGTACAGATACAGTTAATTCTGAGAAATATATAAGGCAGGTACTGCAAGCAAATTTGTGAACTTTACAGTGTTATCACTGCAGCTGACAGAATAGGAAATGTGGTAAACCATGCAGTGAGCGAGCATATGTTGTCACGGGGTCAACATTGCCCATTGCTCTCTACTTACATGTTCTCCAGTCACATTACTGCCCTACTACAGGGTCACAGAATTTTATGACTAGTGTCAGAAAGCAGTGTTTTCAGAGTCATGCCCATAGGATATTTTCAACTTGTTACCCTCTTTTAATGGTATATATTAAAAATATAATATATATATTCATACTGTATGCAAATAGTTTCCAAGTGTCGGAGAACAGACGTAAGTATTAAATGAAAACACTGGCAGTAAAATTCAATGGTTCAGCACCATCACTACAACATATTCTGAAAATCCTGCTCCATCTTCACATCCTACTTCCCCAAGAATGATTTTGTCATTTTTCCCTCAGCTCTTTCATAGTCTTTCATCATTCCAATTTCCAAGTGATTTCTTCCTCAAAATTTCCTGTTGTCCATGTCTTAGTTGCATGCCAGGCCTGTCCTATCCTCCTTGATTTCACTCATAACAATATTAGGTGACTGATATTATCATGAAGTTTGTTTTTATGTAGAATCCTGAATTGTCACTTACTTCAGCCTTCATAGGTCCTAATATTTTACAAATCACTTTCATCTCCTACCCTCAAAGTAGAACTCTGTATTTCAGATGCATTTAAAATAAACGTCAAAGCTATTGTTTTGTGAGTAAATGTGGTGTTTCTAATGAAATTGAAATGTTATTGCAGTTGGAAGGCAGTGGAATGGTGGGAAACTGGTTGTTCCGAGAAGTGTTGGAAAGGCTGTTGGATTTAGTAACCGTTCCAGTGAAGCAAGCATTGTGCCAAGAGAAGACAACACATTCAAGTGAATTAGTTCAGAATTGTTGTCATTTGCTGGCAAGAGTAGTTGCTGAATTGGCTTCTCAGTCAAGTGGAACTGATGTAAGTTGGGAGTTGCTCACTGTATATCAGTTGGCAAGCACCTTGTATGGAGTGCACTGGACTAAACATTGTGACACATGTATTGTGTGTCATATTCATATTTGGAAGGTCAGGACAGGATTCAGGTGTTTATTTCTAATGTTATGTGAAGAGTATTATTGTGTTATATGCAGTGAAACCCACATTCAGTGTTTTCAGTGTGAGATTTTCCCATAGTATTTAGTTTCACTGATCCTGTGTTAAATTATGAGGGATCTTCAGAAAGTTCACACTTTTTATTTCACACCTCTATTTTGTCGATGATTACAAAAACAAAATACTGTACATCATTTTTCTATAGTCACCCTCCCTTTCAACACATTTTTCCCACCTTCCTACCAACTTCTTAATGCCATCATAGTAGAAAGTCTTTAGTTGTGCGTGTAGCTACTGATCCACTGTGTTCTTCATGTCAGAATCTTCTTCCTGCTAAAGTTTCTTTAATAGGCCAAAAAAGATAAAAATCAGATGGTGCCAAATCGGGACTATGAGCTGGATGTTCCATGACTTCCTTCTTCAGTTTCCTGAGGGTTTCCTATGTGTGAGCTGCAGTAAGGGGAAGGCATTGTCATGCAAGAACCAGATGCCCTCTGGCAGTCTCCCTCTTCTTTCAGAGCAGATTGCAGGCTTCAGCCTTCTCTGAAGTACGTCACAATAGCAACCTTGTGACAGTTGACCCACATTCCAGGTGGGTCTCAAGAATAGACCCTTGAGAATCCCAGAAGATGGTCAACATCAACTTGCCTGCTGATGGTTGCATCTTGAATTTCTTTTCAACAAGAGATGATGGATGCTTCCATTGCATGCTCTTTCGCTTGGTTTCATTGCTTGTGATGATTCATTTCAGAAAGTTGTCACCTTCATGATAACAAACAAAGTGGTATGCACTCATACTCATCTGTCAGTTCCTAGGTACCCACCTGGCTTACACTTTGTGGAACTGAAGGCTATTTTGTATACAGAATAGGCAGACTTAATGCCGATATTCAGTTGTTTTTCATTTTCGTTGACTGTCATTCTTCTGTTTTGAAGACTCAGTTCCCTAGCACTTTCTTCATTCTGTGTGGCTGTGGCTGTGTTTGGACGACCCGAGCACTTTGCATCAGTCACACTTGTATGGCCATTTTTAAACATTTTAATCCACTCTCACCCAACTCTACAAGAGAGGGCATGGTCCTGATACTGAGCACACATGCACCAATGAATTTGTCCACCTAGTACACCTTCTGCCCACAAAAACATATCACAGATCATTGCTTCCCCTAAGTGCAGTTCTCAAGTTTTGCTGCATTGTACACCACTTCATAGCAACTCTCATACTAACTGCAAGGTTGACAGGCTTGCCTTGCTGACTAGTCACAATACACAACAATACTGCAACCCCCACCTCCACCCCTTCCACTCTTTCCATTTTCTTCGAAAATACAATAGTGCAGAAACTTCTTGAAGATCCCTCGTATCTTCATTTAAGATTTTTCTATGTAGTGTCCAAATTCACTACTCCTGAAGGAAGCCTTAAATGGGGGTTTGACTGTATTTTGTGTATCTTTTTATGGTTTCACATGAATTAGCATATTTCTAAATAAGTAAGGTTTAGAAAGAAGATTCTGGTAAGAAAGGGAAATTATATTTAAACAATATATGAACAAAAGGAGAGCCCTAACAAGAGCATCAGCTTGAACTTCTGCATTGATGAATTCCTTGTGAAGTAATCCATTTTGTTTTTTGCTTTTTATTTATAATAATCCAAGCATTCATTATCATCATCAAGCCATGCAGGATCTAAATTAAAGAAGCAGACTCAGTTCTTGAATTCCCCTCATTGGAGAAGATATGCTTTATGAAAATAATGTGACACCACATTTAATTTCCAACTCTGGTAGTGAGTGGGACATCAGCATATATGTCCAATAAATATTTATTTTTTTAGATGGATAAATTTAGGTCTTATTACAAAATTGGTAAATCTGACATTAAAAATTAATGAAGACATTATAACCTCCATGTATTAAATTGACATGATAGCTGAACCAGTGGTGGTGGGGGGGGGGTCATGTCACCTGGCCTATATGCACCTCTTGTAATGTCTGGTTTGTTCGGGAAACCACTCAGTTGATGTAGAGTCCAAGGTCATCCAGAAACTGATTAGAAAGTTCCTGAAGTGTGGCATGCCTGCAACAGTATCTTTCAAGTTCCCACAAGAGCCCAGTTCCTTTCACTGCAGTGCAGATGGGAAGTTAGTGAGTTGTGAGTCAGTCATTGTTCAGTCAGTTGGTGTTGTCTGTTACTGAGTCAACAAGTTAGTGAGTCAGTCACTTTTTGGCTCAGTTCAGTGCAATACATAGAAGTAAGAGGAAGAGGCGAGTGCAGTAAGTAAGCAGTGGCGTTGCTGTGAAGTAAGAGGTGAGCATAGTGGGTTATGGATGATGGGAAAGTAACTGCTCACTAAATTGATAAACATTACATTATATATATATCCCACCATAATTGTTGTCATGAACTTGTCAAGCAATTGTTTATTATGGAAGCTTTTCCTCTCTTTCTTTCTGTCTGTATGTGTGTGCATGCGCATATTTGCAACATATGATGAAGCCTTCACAGAAATCTGATCAGTTCTGAAGATCTAGATTTGTATAACATTTGGAAGTCCAGTCTGGAATGGCCTTGGTTCTCTTACCAGTTTAAACTTTTAAACAGCTGGGTTTAGAAAATTTGATGTGAGTGAGATTGCCAGCAGCATAATCTTCATACCAAATTTCATCTCTCGTGTTTCACTGTTTAAGAAAGTGTGAAGCATGCATGCCTGTATACACACACACAGAGCCATATATGATTTCCATATAAACATCATTTTCACTCAGAATTCAATGTCAAATTCCATGGTTATCCTTTAGTTTATATACTGTATATATAGAAACACTGATTGATTTTATATTCAGGAGGACCTACAAGGACCATGTGGACGTGTTCTTCACACAACTCCGTCTCGTTTCACACGCACTAATCAGAGTCGTACTTGGAACACTGGGAATGGCTCACCTGATGCAATTTGTTTCTCTGTTGACCGTCCTGGCATTGTAATAGCAGGAGTTTGCGTTTATGGAGGAGTTGGAACATATGAGTATGAACTGGAACTTCTTGATGATGTAAGTAGTTTCACAATGAATTTAAAATTTATTTTACTGTAACCTACCTGAACTTCATAACCGATTTTATAATTATCCACTGACTTTTTCATGACTCATGATGCAGAGAAAAGATGACACTTGATAATACCATTTCTGGATACTATCAGATATTAGTTGTTAAAATCCTGTCATGCTGATTCATATTCACCATCACCCATGCTCATTGTAACAGGCCAAGACTACTTTCAACCTTAATAAATAGCTACATGGCATAGATAAGAGTCCTTTATAACCTGATAGGTGCTGAGCTGTTGTGGAACCCAAAAATTTGTTATTGTGTTCACAAAAACTCACCACTGGATTCTATTCTGAGCCAGTTGAATCCAGTCTTTTAGGTTTTCTAACTAAATGTTTTAATGCATTTCTCATCTGTCCCATACATGTTGCATGTCCTGTTAGTATTATCCTCTTGATTCAATGAATTTTACATTTAATTATAATCATGTTTTGGTATAGTCTTTTGTTTATGTGCATTATACATTGTTGTTTCCTCAGCAAAATAACACTGGCAATGACCCCTCTCATACTCAGCGCTGGAATAGCTTAGAAATGGCTCGAGGAACGTTTGGTGCAGATGACTGTGTAGCTGATGTAGCAGAAGTTAAATTTGATAGACCAGTACCTATCAAGGAGAATGTTAAGTATGCTGTCCGTTTGAGGAACCATGGTGGTCGTACCAGTAATGGGGACGGAGGACTGAGTTCTGTGAAGGGACCAGATGGTGCTACATTTTCATTCTCAACTTGTTCTCTCAGTTTCAATGGAACCACACAGACCAGAGGACAGATACCACAGATTCTTTACTACAGGTAAAGTCTGTTACTCAAAATGAATTTGCCGAGCATGTAAAATGGTGATTGGCTCCCCTTTCTACCAACCACGACTGAATTTATAACTTGATTTTATATGAGTTTTTGATGCATAGAATTGCACTGGAGCAGGTTCCTTTCATTCTTCATCTATTCAGGGTTTTCCTATTATCAGTATTGTCCTGTAGAATTATAGCTATGTAATTAACATTGTGTTGTCTGGAAAATCAATAAATTTGTATGTGCTCTTGCTCAGAATGCATAGTGGGGAGGATATATCTGTCCATCCATCCACTGAATCATTGTTATGTCTCATCTCACAGCTGTTTAATAGATTCTGAGGAACTTTGAAGGTGCGCCACAAGCATTGAGAATGTCAGTGTGTGTAGGAAGCACTGGTATGGTAAAGGTAAAATTATCCGATGTTTTAGTTAATTAAGCATCACGCCATGAGGATGTACTGGGAAGTTGAGGTATAGTTCCACCATTATTTTATTCTTGGCACTAGATGGAGGTGAGTGTTCAGCGTTGCACCCCTGTCACTTTACATTCTCAGAGAACAGCTCTTGCTATCTATTGTACAGGAGACTGGGTTGGATGGGGAAGAGAAAAGTCTCTTGCCCGTGCTGGGAATTGAACCCTGACTCTTCGGTTTACCAGCCTGTAGCCAGGTTACTTTACTGAATGAGCTGTCCCGGCTGCAACATTGGAATGGAGTCCAGTGAAATCAATGCAGTAATTTTCCATATGAAATCTCTACTGTTGGAGTTCTGCTTGTTTTGAACAGCCCCTATTACTCGTCTTTAATATGAACAGCGTTCTTGTGTTTCATGGTTGACGTCATGCACCTTAACTTATGTTGGATCACTGCAGCCATATATGTCTAAGTTTCCTTCCATATTTTATGTTTCCTAGCCTTCTCTCTGCAGTAGTTATCCATGGTTTTTTTTTTCTTTTGGATGAATAATTGTCAGTCACTCTGTACCAGTGATGTCAGTCAAAATGGAATTACACATTAATGTCATAGATGTTTATATCAATATAAAATAATTTAATGGGTTCTAGAGACTTGAGCTTTGAATTTAATTCAGTCTTAAATGTTTATACATATTGATGTTACTGGCATTAATCTAATTACCATGGTTGTACATAAATTTCTTTCTTCCAAGTGGAACATCTCCCCAGTTTTTGTATTACATTGTTTTTACATTACATTGCATTGCATTCCATGGATCCAAAGTTAGTCAAAGTGACTGTAGGATGTGGAATATGTCATATAAATACAAAACATATGTACAGTCCCAATGGAGTTCTCACACAAGAGAAACCAAGAATACACAGTGACTACACACAAGGCTATTTAAAGATACATAAGTTATATGATATAACTCCGTCCTAAGTGCAAACTATATTTATAGGTCTTTCGTCTTGTTCTTCTCTATACGCTACATGTTTTGGCTCCAAACGGCCATCATCAGGTGTATACACTCACGTACGAGTATCTGTTACACTGCACTTATTTATAACATTTAAAATTAAAAAAACATAGGTCTTCCTGATTAGCACTTATAAAATCTTCGGTTCTAATTTTAAATCCTTTAAAATTTTTTCTCTAAGCTTTAAAATTTAAAAATGTCAGGGTTACTCGCCCTATGTCTATAGTGCTGCAGCGGCTTCTTCTTGTATCTAGTATTGTATAGGTGTTATTCTGTGTAGTCTCCTTGTGTGCGTGCCTCTGCTAACTTTACTACGTGCAGTATAACAGATAGTGTATACACCTGATGATGGCCATTTGGGGCCGAAACATGTAGTGTATAGAGAAGAACAAGACGAAAGACCTATAAATACAGTTTGCACTTAGGCCGGAGTTATATCATATATCGTATAAAGTGCAACAGGATGCTTAAATATAATACTGTATACACAAGTTATTTTCTAGACAACAGGTATTCATCAACAGAGTAGAATGAATGTGTATTTAAGTATTGTTTCAGTGCTGTTTTAAATCATGCCTTTTCATTCATAAGACCTTTGAGATCAGTTGGCAGGTTATTAAAAATGTTGATCCCAGCATAATATGCACTTTTTTGAAAACATGAGAGGTTAGCAACTGGTTTATGAAGACAGCATAAAGTACAGGATCCTGGTTCTTCAGTATTTTGTGATAAATAAGAATATTATGCCATAAAGAAGGGGTGTGATATACCAATATGTTGAATCTGTATTTATATCATATTCTTTTCCCCAATATCAAGTGACAGTCTTAAAGTGCATTGACTTTGTTTGATCACACAGTAATCCACAGGATTCAGAAAGTCAGCAAACAAGCAAAGCATGGGCAGAACTTCAAGCTTGCAAGTGTACACTGTCTATGACGTCAGCTATTATTCAGCGGTGCAATGATCTGATGGCTTTGGCAAGGGAACGTGCAGAGGATCAGATAGCTACAGAAGTGCTGGGCAATGCTTGCGTTCTTACAACACTGCTGCCTCTCATACTAGCACACATTAGTCCATTGGCAACATTAGATCCAAGGGTAAGTGACAAGAGGCATTAGAACATTGAATTATAACAGGTAATGGTGTGTATTTCTGTGTGAATGTGCCTTTGTAACGTTTTTTGTTACCTTTGTGTTTTATCATACACAAAAGAAGTGGAGTAATTTCCTTTTTTGAGAAAGGTGTGTAGGAATGATGAAGCCATCAGCTGGGTTTCATCTAGTTATATTTTATATTCTTAACATAATTACCAATATATAATCATAAAGAGAATTCCATGGGGTGGAGCTCAGAAATGCTTGAGAAGCTGATAGTTGTGGACATGGAATTCATACCTTTTCTGGACTGTGAAGATTTACAAAAGCCTCAAACTGAAGGGAAACAGCCTTTCAGAATACAATAAATATAAAAACAGTGAACTTACTTCAATGATTCAAACTACTACTTTTATTATTGACTGTCTGTCTCTCTCCCACACACACACACACACACACACACACATTTTGGGTATCACCTTCAACTACACTAATTCTGAGTATTAAACACCATCATCAGAAACTTTTTGAATCTAATTCTGTATGTGTGCTCTCCTGATTAAAATCATGTCTGAACAGAAGCACTTATAGAAGCAGACATTGCTCTGATCCTAACTCCGGTTTGTGTCTGTATAACAGAGTGGTGTACAAGTACTGAATCTTATCCAAGAATTGCTTCCTCATGTGGCAGCACTGAACTCACTAAGTAGCAACATGCATCAGTCTACAGGGTCTTTGGATAGTGTTGGAGGTCAGGATTCTCAAGGTTACTTCCAGCCTTCGTCCACAAATACCACATCACATCACTATGCATGGGTAGAGAGTGATCATCCTTATAAGCCTGCTACTGTATCCAACTATAGGTATGTGTTGGTATAACAAGTGGAAGTTTTTAGTTTAGGTTAATGACTGAATGAAAGTTATTGTCTTCAAGATTAAAGACTGGGATGGAATTAAATAATAAATTAATTTGTTTTGTGCCAAACCAGTGAATATGAACTTTCAGATATAATTGCACAGTTCATTTGGTTTGTATTTCATGTAAAAAAAATGTAATTAATAGAATCCATATTATTAAAAAATTAAAGGCAGAATCACTGAGTAATAATGATATGTGAATTCATGCTCAGTCCCAGAAGTATTCTGCATTGTTCTGTGTTTTATTAATGAATAGCTTACTGAATGATCATGTATCAGTGGCAGAGAATATATAATGTCAGATGAGTGACTCTCAATGGGGTTTTGGATTGGAGATTGAATTTATTGACCACTTAAGATCATAACTACAGATAACTATAACTTACATGGTGCAATCCAAAAGTTCCCGAAATTATTAATAAAAACTATTACATCTTACCTAGATCTTATTCTGCACCATCACCTTCAAAGTAGTCGCCTTGGGAGCGCATACACCGATCCCAGCGTTTCTGCCACTTTTCAAATGCATCCTGGAAGTCTTTCTTTGATAGGATGTTTAGTACCGTCTGTGTTTCCTCTTGAATTTCCTCAACTATATCAAATCTTCGCCCCTTCAACTTGATTTTCATCATGGGGAAGAGAAAGAAGTTGCATGGAGTGCGAGTGCGGTGGGTGGGAAACAACTGCCATCTTGTTTTAGCCAAAAATTCCTGCACAATATAAGCCGTATGCAGTCGTGCGTTGTCATGGTGGAGTACCCAGTCGTTCGTGCGCCACTTCTCTGGACGTTTTCTTCTCATGTCCTCCCTCAAACGCCTTAGAACATCGCGATAGAACTCTTTATTGACTGTCTGACCAGGAGGAACGAACTCCTTATGAACAATCCCGTCAATATCAAAAAAAAAAACAGATCAACATGGACTTAATGTTGCTCTTCACTTGTCGAGCTTCTTCTGGCCGAGGTGAAGAAGGGCTCTTCCATTGCGACAGTTGCTGCTTGCTTTCAGGGTAGTAGCCATAAACCCAACTTTCGTCACCAGTGACAACCTTCGAAAGAAAGTTTGGATCCTCTTGAAGCTGTTGCTGAAGTTCCCTGCAGACTTCCAAGCGATGCTGCTTCTGTTCATTTTGCAGCAGTCGTGGCACAAACTTCGCCGCAATCCTCATGTTCTGTTCCTCTGACAAAATTCGTTGACATGCACCATAACTTAGTCCCAAGGTGTTACAGAGGTCTTGAATGGTCAGTCTACGGTCTTGCAGAATCAGATTCCTAACTTTCGCGACATTTTCTGGTGTTTTGCCTGTTGACAGCCGTCCTGAATGATTGTCATCATCAGTCAATGTTCGGCCATTTTTAAAACGCTGTAAGTTTGTGTCTGGCCTAAACTGTTTTCACGAAAAGCTTGCTTCAACGTTTGGTGCGTTTCTGCAGCGGTTTTCCCAAGTTTGAAACAAACTTTATACAGACACGCTGCTCTCTCAAGTTAGCCATCGCAAAACTGCAAACTCACGGAAACACAACAATGGAAATACATTCACCAACAATAAAGCCAACCACTTAATTTGACACTGCTTGCCACACTGATTCAAGAAGGATGTGTGAGGAGACACCTAGCAGTATTTTGATGTACTCATAACCATTCGCGCGCAGAATACAAATTTCGGTAACTTTTGGATTGCCCCACGTACTTACTTACGCATGGAGCTGAGCCCTTCTTGAGGAGCTGCCAATTCTGCAGCTACTCAAGAGTTTCCCAGCATTTTATGGAACCCGAAGGTTCATCACCGTGTTCACAAGAGCCCTCCACTGGTCCCTATCCTGAGCCAGATTTATCCAATCCATACCATCCCATCCTATCTCTCTAAGATCCATTCTGATATTGTCCACCCACATATGCCTTGGTCTTCCCTGTGGTCACTTTCCTTTTGGCTTTCCCACCAATATCCTATACACATTCCTTGTCTCCCCCATTCGTGCTACATGACCTGCCCACCGCATCCTCAGATAACTATAACACTGTTGCTAATTCTCACATTTACAAATCACTACAGCACACACTGAGTCTTGTCCAGCCTACAGTGTCTTCATTAGATGTTTCCTGGTAATGGATTTTAACACATATGTGTGTGCACAAGCATGTATATGCACACACACCTCTTCCTTCCTTCCTCCCTCCCTCCCACCCTCTGTTCATTCTTAAATCTAATGCAGCAAATTAGGAATCCATAATTCATAGTTAATAACAGGACTTCAAAGTTTTTAATATACCTTACAGGTGATATGTAATTTCATTCCCACTGTCTCTGCAACACAATGAAGGTTCACGTTTTCGTGCTCTGCTTACAGGGTTTCATTTCCAGAGAGTGTGAAGTGGCTTTGCATTGAGTTTGACCCACAGTGTGGTACAGCACAGGCGGAAGATTCATTGCAACTTTATATTCCAAGCCTCCCCACTTCTTCCTCAGTTGCTAAGGGAACTACAGATGATAGTGAAGGTGACACTTCCCCTGTTCCCTATTGGCCAATATTACAGAAATTTAATAGAGGGAGCAACAGTTGGCCTCAGACAGCAATTGTTTTACCAGGTGAGTGCCTATATAGTGTATCCAGTATTATGACATATTTTAGTCTTAATTTTTAGCAAATGAAAACACATAACGTTGAATACATTTTTATCTTATTTAATATAACTGACACAACCAGTGTCTGTTACTGCTTTCTCAATTCCTGAGACAGATATGTAAATATATTTTCTTATTAAAGATCCAATTTTATATAAATTTGCATTCATTTAGCAGATAATTGAATAAAATTCTGGTCAGTTTCATGGGCACTGGTAGGGTTGGGGGAAGTCGGGCATCTGCCAGACTCCTCGTACTTTTGGAAAAAAATCAAAATTTGAAAAGTAGGAAATAGACCAAATATTAATATGAAAAATAAAAAATATTTAAAAGACTATTCTTTAATCCTGAATAATCTACAGTGAGAAGAAAAAAAATGTTCTTAAATAGCTTAAACATAAGTTTATAAGAATATTTTCAGATTGTCTCCTTAGGAACAAATCTTGATATCAGCCATGGTCACTTCAATTAAATCCAACATTTTCAGCAGGATTAAAATTTGAAACCTCGTGAAACACTAATATACTTGCAGTAACAGACATTCACCTCACTCATCACTGGCCACTAAATCATATAGCAACCTCAGTTTAAAACAAGGGAAAATAAAGATGGAGGCTCTATAATATTAAATTATCTATAAAACCCTAGTCTTGATGGTATAAAATACATGCAATAATTCTTCATCTGCACAAAACTTTTTGAGAAATCTTGAAAATTTTAAAGTTACATGAATATGTAGGACTAAGTTTTGATGAAAAACTGGTTTCTGCCACCACTGATGATGTGCTTCTAAACTCATTCATGTTTTTTCCTAGCAATTCTTAGCATGTTTCAGTGTTGAAGAATGTAAGTTAGATGAAGTGGGAACAGTGAATGGAACCTATGTAATAATAACTAGTAGTTTCAGATGTGAAAGTGCATTTGGTAAATTACATAATATACAAATTGAACACATTAAGTTAACATAATATAATTTTTTCAAATGTCTTTTAAACTCAAAAATCAGCCTCAGAGCTCAAGTATCAAATCCTTTCATGTCTCTGTGTATCCAGAGATCTGTTACTCAAAGTTAGAGAAGTCTTGGAGTGAAATAAATGGGGATAATCTGAACAATATAAGATGTGAAACCAGTAGGTATTTCGGGAATAAAAAGGGGGAATATCTGAAAGACAAAATTGATGAGCTTGCATTGAACAGTAAGAACAAGAACATTAGAGACTGCATAGACAAATAAATTACTTTAAAAGGGGTTACCAACCTAGAAGTAACTTAGTGAAGGATGAGAATGGTGATCTGCTTGCAGATTCCCACAACATTTTGAATAGGTGGAGGAACTACTTCTCTCAGTGTTTGAATGTACGTACATAGGGTCAGTGATGTTAGGCTGATAGAAATCCATACAGCTGAGCTGTTAGTACCTGATCCTAGCCCTTTTGAAGTTGAAAGTGCTATTGCAAAATTGAAACGGTATAAGTCACCAGGTAGTGATCAAATTCTGGCAGAACTTATTCAAGCAGGAGGTGAAATATTACGTTCTAAGATCCACAAGCTAATTACTTCTATTTGGCATAAGGAATAATTGCCTGATCAGTGGAAGGAGCCTATTATTGTACCAGTTCACAAGAAGGGTGATAAAACTGACTGCTATCAACTTCATAAAAAAATTTATCCAGTATTCTTCTCTCAAGGTTAAGTCCATACATAGATGAAATTACTGAGGAGCATCAGTGTGGTTTTCGATGTAACAGATCAACTACAGATCAGATCTCTTGCATTCGTCAGATATTGGAGAAAAATGGTAGTACAATGAGACAGTACATCAGCTATTCATAGACTTCAAGAAAGCCTATGATTCAGTTAGGAGGGAAGAACTGTACAATATTCTGATAAGAGTTTGGGATACCCATGAAACTAGTTAGGTTGATTAAAAAGTGTTTAAACAAAATATATAGTAAAGTCTGTATAAGTAAACATTTGTCTGATAAATTTCCTGTCCAGAATGGTCCAAACAAGGAGATGCTTTATTGCCACTCCTTTTCAACTTTGCTTTAGAATATGCCATTAGGAAGGTCCAGGGAAACCAGATGGGACTGAAATTAAATGGGACACATCAGCTGTTCGTCTAAACCAATGATGTAAATCTACTGGGTGATAATATAGATCATCATCATCAGTAATCTGTCAGATGACAAGTCCACAGTCTCTTCCAAAACAGTTCCTCCACTTATTGCGATCTAGAGCTTTCTCCTTCAAATGACAGTATCCTCTTCTGTCCCCAAGGTCATCCAGCATCTTCTTACGTCTTCTTCCTCGTCTTCTTGTTACTTCTATCTGTCCCTCTATCTTTCCTTCAGTAACTTCTTTTAGAAGGCAGTTTCTGCGTAAAACATGACCAATCCAATTAGCCTTCCATTTTCTTATTTCGTGTAGGATATTCCTCTGCTCACTGACTCTAATTAACACTTCTTCATTTCTCACATAATCAGTCCAACTGATCTTCTCCATCCTTCTCCAACACCACATTTCAAAA